ATCTCCTCCTGTCCAACCAGCCCACAAAACCAGAACAGAGCTGCTCTGCGGCTGTCCCGTCACACACAGAGACCTGGGGCATGTCTTAGTTCCCCAACCGGTGAGCTCTCAAAAGGCTTTTCCCCTGGCAGAATATCCGTTTTTCTTCTGTTGCCAATAAAAATCCCCAGCTCTGTTCTTTCTCCTTCGCTTCCTTCTATTGCTTCTGACAGAGTTTGCCAGTGAGCTGAGGTTAGGATTTCCTTTTTACAAACAACCTGTTTTCAGTCAGCAAGGCCAGAGGTTTCCTAAATTACAAACCCTTTCATTTCTTCTGCCGCAAGGCATGCTGTCAGTTTGTATAATCACATAGAAAGGAGAGAAATGAAGACGTGCAGAGAGATATTGAAAGAAGAGTAGCTCACTGACTTGAGCATTTTGGATTGTCAAAAAACGATCTTGAATATCGTGGAGAACCCTATTCTAGCTGAAGCTTTTGTAGCTGCGTATAGTGTGGGTAAAGGGCCAGGGTCTGAAAGGAAATTTCTTACAAGTCTTAAATGAACACGCAGTAGGAGTCCCGCCAAAATCTCCTGCCATCATCTCTGCATTCTGTTAAGCAAATGACCTTGTTTATATTTATTTGAATTGGGAAACATCCATCTCTGATGCAAATGTTCTGAAAAGCAAATTTTAAAAGTTATGAAATATATTTTCATTGATATTTCTAAATGTTCACTGGAAGATATGTTTTAACCCAAACTCTGGAAGGATGACAAAGGATTGAGGCACTAAGGTTCAAAAGACAAAAGGCCTTTGGACATCATTGGAAAATTGTGCTAACTGTGGACAAAGCATTAAATACTCCTGAAAAACTTGAAGAGAACACCTAAGTTTATCCTGTTATTTAATGATAGATCGGGGAAGCGAAGCCAACTGTTACAGGCCTGAGAACTCCTATCTTTTCATGATTCAGTGTTGCATCCAAGAGGGTGGGTTGGGGTCATGGCTTTGCTTATCTGTGACCCACTGGGAAAAGCATTTAACCCAAGTTTTGTAACCTGTAAAATGGGCTCAACTAGATACTCCTTAGACCTAACATTTGAAGTCTAGTTTAGCATAGAAGCATCAGCAGTAGCAAAGGCTGTATATGCTGATGCAGGAGCCTCAGGCCCTTTCTATTCCTATCCTCTGCCTTTTCTTTTTCCCATGAAGGGGAAGCAGTCACGCTTATGTACAATAAAGGCACAAAGCCTGTAGCTTTACTCTGAGGTGGACAGTTAAAGCCTTTGCCATTGTTCCCTCCCTCTCCTGGCCATTCCACCCATCATCTCTGCATCCCAGACCCACAGTCCTGGCTCTCCTGCCCTTCCCTTCTCCTTCCCTAGCTTGCTGCCCACCTTCTCGCTTCGAGCTGCTCTTGTGCTCTTCTCTTTTCCCTACTCCCCTTGGGCCAACTCCTCCCCAGCCTTGAGGTCTCAGCTCGGACATCGGTTCTTCAGAGAAGCCTTTCTTTTCTTTTTTTTTTTTTTTTTTTTT